TACTGACCACCATATTCAATGGCTTACTTAATTGATTAGTTTTAGTTTTCCTAATCATCATGCATTGTCTACAACAATCAAGACTATCCTCCACCGATAGCCCAAAGCAGTTATTTCTAAATCGAAAATAAATGCACCAAATAGATATATCATCAGCATTCAACCTGGGTGAGCGATTAAATGAAACCAACCACACCCGTTAATCCCATAATCTTTTCAATTTGAATACTCTCAATTCAATTCTTCATTTCTCAAAATTAATTATACAAATTAATTTATCCAACTAATTAGGACATTTTCCCATAATTAACATAACAACCCTAAGGTTCCACTTTTATCCATAGTTCATCATCTATATCATTTCTCTATGCCAAATATGCATATAGGTTTAATTATGAATGAAACCCCATCTTTTGTAAAATTACACAAAGACCCAAACTTTCTCAAAATTACCCAACAACCCCCAACATATCAAAATGCTAAAATTCAAAGACAAAGCTCATAAAGAGGAGTAGGGTGTCCTTACCTCGAAGTTAGAGCTCTAACGAAGAAGGAGAAGAAAGTGAAAATGCTCCAAACACCACGATTCTCGGATCAAAACGAAGCCTTTGACGATCAACACACTTTTTACAAAGGCCGGAGGATAGTGAGACACTCTAACTAGATCAAACCCTAGAGAGAAGGGAGTTTCTAGAGAGAGGAGCTCTCAAAATATCTTTTTAGAAAGTAAGAGAGAGAGAGAGAGAGAATGTAAAAAGTGATTTTAAAATGCCCAGCTGCCAACTGATATACGACATTCCCGCTCGAGCAGATAACACAATGCTCGAGCGTCAAGAACAAAAAACTAGGTACGCTCAAGTGCCAAGACACAAGAATAAAGTACATCCGCTCGAGCGCGAAAACCAGTCCGCTCGAGCGTGGATTTCCCCCTCCCAGAACTTACACCAAAAAGTACTACCCGCTCGAGCGCCAGAGTACCCGCTCGAGCGTAAAAATCACACCTACAAAAGTTTTGCAGGGACACGAAATACTGGGAGTGTGCAATCTCCGCTCGAGCGCAACAAGGCCCGCTCGAGCGGAACGACCAAAAACCTGGCAACAAGATTTTAGACCAAGGTTCAACCCACCTGTTCGAAACATGCCCAACACATCCTAAAACTCACACAAATGGAATTAAAGGACGACAACAAGATAGATACAACTACCAACTCCACGGAATCGAGTCCGGAATACAACAGAATAGTAAAGGGACAACCGGGATCGCTATATCTTTCATGTTTGCCACTTTGCTGACTATGTCGAGGATCGAGTAGCCATTCCTGCGCTTGAGTGGAGATCACGACCTTTTAGAAGTTTCACTCACCTACAAAAGTACAGGGAGTTGTGTTTTTCCAATCGAGCGGCCATTCCTGCGCTTTGAGCGTAGACCCTGTTTAGTCACACGCGTTTTAGTTAGTCTACTCAAGCAGCCATTCTTGCGCTCAAGTGGAGATCGCAACCCTGTTTTCTATAAATATGTGTTTCAATCCGATTTTAGGTTTACAGCTTCCAGATCTTCTTCTTGGGTATTAGGGTTTTCCTCTGGAACTTTTTTGCTTGTTTCCTTTGATATTTGTAAGAGTTTCAATCATGAATTAAGTGGATTATATCAAAGGGTTTGTTTGTTTTATTTATTCAATAAAAAAGAGATAGTTGTTCTTTGGTGGATTCTAAGAAAATTGGGCCTAAAGCTTTGGTGGATTCTAGAGTGGCTCATCGTCGTGAATTCGACATCGGCGTTGTGGATTCAACATTGTACAAGACAATTCTGAGGTGAAGACGGGCTAGAAGAGACACATAAGGGTCAATTCGATTTGGGCGTGGATTCGCTAGCTAATTGAGAGTACACTTGTGTAATTCCTTTATATTTTCTTAGTGGATTGTTTTGTGACTTTTGTCCATAATTTTTTTTTTATCACAATTGGAGGCACTCCAATTGTGATTTTTCTAAGTAAAATTGTTATGTCAATTTGTCTTGATTGTTTGATTGAGATTGTTATTTACTGCTTAAAATTCATTCATAATCACAATTCAATATTTAGGGGATTTTTAAAATTTTCATATATATATATATATATATTTGTTTTCACTATATTTTCTTGTTTGCCAATCAAAGTTATTTTATATGTTTGAATGCTTCACAGATGGATGTGTTGTCTGATGGGGTTAACATCTCATATGGTTTTGTCTTTCTAGATGAAATCTTGATGATCTGATTCAAGTGAAATTTATTGTTTTGTTTTTCTTTGTTACTAGATTATACTTTGTGCTTAATTTATTGCTATTAATTTATTTTTATTTTTTTTATTCTTTTTGTTATCATTTGTTGTTGGTGATTTTTAATGTTACTACATAGTACACTCTCCATTACTAGTGATCCACCGATGACTGATCTTTATATTTATTAATCTTACCAAAGTTTTACCCGATTTTTGGTATAAAACCCTGTACTTGCTGTACTTGCTTGAATGGGTTCTGCAATTATTAGTTTCAGCAGAAATGATAGTTATCCAGCAAAACCCAAATTATGATGTGTGTTTAATTCTTGTACAAGAGAACTCAAACTCGAAATGAATAAAAAACTACACAATACTCTTTTTTTGAGTTTTTTCAGGGTAAAATTTATGAGTCTCTTGCATTGTTGTAATTTTAGATATCAGATTTGTCATGTCTTGATATCGTTGCCTTGCCCTAATTTATATGTACATTTTTTTGTTTTTGGTGTATGAATGTTTATGTATTTAAGTGTTGTGAATTGATCTGGTTGTGTTTCAACTTTTGAACATGTTCAAAAAACAGGGTATTAGGGAAGAGGTGGCATGGATCCAGAGCCGGGGTGGTGCAGGACGATGAATAGCAAGAACTGGAGATGTTCAAGGGATATGGTGACTGGCCACAAGTGTTGTAAGTGCCACATGAATCGTGGCCGCAACCGTTGAAGAAAGCCCGTGGAAATCCCCACACCCTCCACCTCCACTACTGCTAGTGGCTCCAATGGTGGTGGCTAGGGCTAGCCTTAAGTTTTCTGGAACTCAAGACGAAACCAAAAAAGGGACCCTATATTCATAAAAATAAAAATAAAAATAACAATCATCTTGTTTGGCATCACTACCTTCAATTGATAGCAAAATAGATATCAAAATGTATTCATTGAAGAGTACAAAAAAACAAAAAAAAAAAGTTACCAAAAGGTATAGTTCAAATCAACAAAACAAACTAATTAATCAACAAATCTAATTGATGAAATTATGTAGCGGTGTGAAGCAAATATAAATGATTTCACATTGTGTTAAATTGAAGCGGGATAATAATTTTGCTTCACAAACGAAAAGGAAACATGACTATATAATCAATTTTCACACAAAACACACAACCCACTCACTATCTGATATCTGATATTAAAGAAATTATGGAACACAATTTAATGAAACAAAATTAGAGCAAAAAAATTAAGAAAATTTTATTCAATTATCCTATGATAAAGACATAGGATAAAAAAAATTAAGGTAAAATTATTTACGCCATTAAAATTTGATAGTTTATGCGAGACTATACTTGTATATGTTTTAATTCATTTTTTTCAATGGGCCTAACCACATTTGTGATAAATATTTTTTTAATTGAGCCAGATAGATTTATTTGGAACTCTTTAGACTAGGCCTAAATTAACAAAACAAATTGGGTCTATTTATATTTTAAATATACTACTAATGAATTTGAGAAACTTATTTTTGGGCCAAATTTTGGAATCTAAAGTACAAGTCCTAACGGCCTTAACCCAAAGCCAATTCTGGTGGTGGCGATGGAGACATCAAAACCAACACGGCCTTGCTGCCCAGCTTGGACATCAACGGGTGCTGATGGGACTACCTATTTCAATCAAAGGTATAGTCTCTTTCCTCCCTATCAGGATGGAGATTTTTTATTTTTTATTTGGGATTTTCTATCAATTAAAATGCTTGTCCAAAAAAGGGAAAAAGTGAATAAAAGCCTGGTGGTCATTGATAATGAAATAGAGAAAGAAGAAATTGATTTAATGATTCAATGTATCAATTGACATGAATTCACCTTGGCACAAATTCAATCCATCAATTGATTTAATGATTCAACCCATCCAACAATAGCCCCAATTGCAAAGATCCTAATGTTTGGTAACTGCATATGAAACCCTAAACCTTAGGTTAATAGACTCCTCGCTCGAGCGAAGATCCAAAATTCTGGACAGCAGCACTTGGTTTCTAAACCCAACCAACCTGAAACAAACCTGCCCAACACATCCTATAAGTCCAAATGAGCAAATAAGGGACAACAACAACAATAATACAATGACAGAATCTACGGAACCTAAGTCCGGATACAATAATCAAATGGGAGAAGACCGGGGTCGCTATAAATTCAATCCATCAATTGATTTAATGATTCAACCCATCAAACAATTGCCCCAATTGTAAAGATCCTAATGTTTGGTAACTGCACGTGAAACCCTAAACCTTAGGTTAATAGTATTTTAGCCTCTAGTTCTATAAAAGTTTGTATAATGGCCCAATAAATAATAATTTTAAAGCCTAGAACACCACTTTAAAATTAGAAATACCCTAACACTTGGCTTTTATTTATTTTACCTCCTAATTTCTAAATTAATTCATACATTTTATTTTTTTTAGCCTAGTTGCATATTTACTAATTCTTTGAACCATTATTATTTATTTGAGCAAATAAATAGCTATAAATATATGTAAAAAAAATAGTATTATTATTTATTTTAATATTTATTTGAGCAAATTTGTAGCAAAATAGTGGGAAACTATCTAGATATTTATAAGTTTGCTTAGGCATTAAGTTAGAAGGTTAGATTGGTCTTTTTAACCCAACTCATGGCCTATAAATTGAGAAGCATTGACTCAATTTCACTCTCACGTTTTTAGTAGCCTAGGAGAGGGTGAGAGAGGGACAGTGTGATTAAGAAAAGTAGAGAAAAAAAAAAAAAAAGAGAAAAAGAAGAGAAAGTGACTCAAGAAGGTAAGAACACTTCTTCCTCTTGTCTTCTCCAATTCTTTTACCATCCCATTATGTTGTTTAGACGCCCTCCTGTGCTGCATACTAAAGGGAAATAGGGTTTTGATGTGTATAAAAGTGTAGATTTGAGTTAGTGACATTGTCTTGTAAATTTGTCAAATTAGGCACTGCTGTAAATTCTCAAATTGAAAAAAAATATCAAATTTATTTATTTCTCAAATCTGAATTTAGTGTAGGCTATTTGGTGTGCTTAGCACTTGTGATAATTTTATTAGCGCCTAATTATGTGTTTTTAGGGCTTGGATATTTTATTTAAAAATCTGGTCCTGAGGCTCTAAAAAACAATCCACTTCTTGCAATTTTATAAAATTCCAGAAAAATCATCTTATATTGGTTCTTCTATCAAAATTTAGAATTCTGAGTCCTCTTTCCAATGGAATTTATTTGGGTGAAAATCATTGGGTAGATTGAAAGGAAATCTAGTTTTCCCAAAGGATAATAAATCTGGACAGGTTTTTGAATATAGCTTGTTGATGAATTTCTGGAGGTTCTGTGCAAATTCTGAGAATTGGAATTGAAACTAGACAGGTTAATTGTTATTTTTGTGCAATTTCAGCCCCTAATATGACCTAGAAGTATTTTTCACAAAGCATTCTTGTTAGCCCTACAGAATCGAACAGTGCTGGAAATGGTGTTTTATGTGTTATTTGTCTCTAAGTGTTTCAAAGCATGCCTAATGTTATTTTCTTGCCTTACCATACCTATGTATGACTATCATGGGCTATATTTCCTCTCTTATGTTTGTCACATGCTCTTTTATATTACCGAATTACCGAATATGACTAACTTGCTTGGCAAAAGATCTAATAAATGGGAAATGGAAATGGGTTGGTAATGGGTGACGTTCACCCTTGTGCTTCAGAATGATTTATGTAATATACATGTGAATGGGATTAAAACCAAATGAGTTAAGTCTTGCGCAAGTGGTCTAAGTGAGCCCCTAGGTTGACAAGGATGTATTCAGACTCTATGCAGTGGTTTTAGGGTGTAAGCGAGCCCACTTGTTTGGCCGTCCCTTTTGAGGTCCATCAATGCCACTGACAGGTAAATAACTGGAATGAGGGCATAGGTGGTAAGGTCTGCAAAGCAGCAAAAAGGGGATTTCTGAATAATCCGGTGTTCAATCCTTGTGGTTGGGTAGAAGGATCTCTTTGGGGGATTCTAGATGTCTAGACTAACTACTAATTCATAAATCCTTGTTATAAGATTATATGTTATGTTACCTGATTTGTTCTGTGTATGGTTGATTGATTGATAGAAGATATGGGGGTGTGTGTGTTTTTACTGGGCATTCCAAGCTCATGGCATGTCATGCCAGGTGAGGAAATAGTTTACGATGGTGAAAGTTTTCCCGAAGGCAACCAAGATGAAATGTTGGAGCCGTGGTTCACTTGAAGACTTAGACTAGTAGTTTTATTTTTTTATTTTTTTGACTTTTTAGCGTGACGATGTTTGTAATCCTATTGCAGAACACAAATGAATGAACTATGGTATTAACTTTGCTTATATGTGTATATTAAGATATTTTGGTTATCTATCCTATTTAAGTTGTATTTTGTAATTTTTTTTATGGTCAAGAATTTTGGGTTGTCACACCTATAGTGTTCAGGGTTGCTGTATGTAGGGCTATTGTTGCCTAATAGTAACAAAACTAACCTTGTAATTGAGGATCATGTAAGGTGGTAGCTAAAAATTATTATTTCAAACATTGAATTTGCAACTCTTATTTGGTTGAATTAATAACCAATCCGATGATAGCATGTTATAGTTATTTATGAACAGTTAAGTACAGATTTATTTTATAATGTGTTTGACTACACCGAGTGGTGTCCAACCCCTCAATTGCACCAGCCCTCCCTCAAATTTTCACTGGTAATATATTCAACTTGAGAAGAAAAATATGATAACTTCAAATACGACGGCAAAATTTTACTACGCTAAATAAAAAATATTGTACGTTGAGAAAGATAAAGATACACTCGCTTACATTCTACATAATTATTATGATGTATTTAACTTCTCAAAATATATGCTATACTGCTCCTGAAATGTATAACATTAATTGTTCCTACGTTACTAGGTGTTCTTTGAGTACAATGGAGTTTTATTTTATTTTTATTTTTTTTGAATGTGGAGTTCAATAGAGTTTAACATTAGCATAATTTACTACAAATCTTTTCTAAGGAAATTCTACTTATACAACACATTTACCTCTTTACACCCTAAATTTAGGATTCCCCCCCCCCCCAATTTTACTCATGTGTGAAAGTTCTTTTAAAGACAAAAGATAATAATTAAATAGATTTGATTATCATTTTACATCCATTATTAAATAGATTTGAATAGATTTCATTATCATTTTATTAAATAGATTTGATTATCATTTTACACTTCAATCCCTATTTATTTTCTTCTTTTCTCATTTCTTCTTCTCTACTATACATCTACTTTCAGAAAGTGAAAATCATAGTGTTTTGATAATAAAAGAAAGTAATGGATGAATAAATGGTGATGAATGACTATCAAAAAAGTAAAATGGTGGTTTTTTTTTATTTTATGTTTACGTTTCATTTTTTAAGATGGCTGTTCGACTTTTGTTTGGTGTACCAAACCGAACAAAATCAAATAACTCATAATCACATTGCCAAACAAAAAATACAGATCCGGTAACCCATTGCTGAACAAAAAATACTTGTTCGGTAACCTATTGCCGAACAAAAAGTACATGTCCAGTTACTTATTGCTAAACATTTTCAATTTCATTTTTCTGACATTTTTTTTTTGGCTTTGAAGGATTATGTTTCTATTCATTATTGTAAATAGTAGTGTATTGCTAATGGACTAAATTGAACATTTTCAATTTCATATGCTTGTCAGCCCGAATGTAGTAACTACTAAAACTATCAACATAGTTGGATTGTGATATCATCTCAATGTCTTTTTATAGATGTTTGTATGGACAAATTTGAAAATATTTATATTGACAAATTTTATCAATGATTTTATGGATGTTTGTACATTTCATGTTTTTATGGATGCCTCATGTTTTAAGGAAAGTAAATTTGTAATCGTGCGGTAACAAATGGCTGGACAAATCTAGTTTGTTCGATAACATGACACTGAAATAATCCAAATTGTTTGGCAATGTATAACCGAACAGGCCATCATAAATTTAGAAGGAAAGAAATGATATTTTAAGGAAAGTGAATCTATAAACGTGCGGTAATAGATGGTTGGACAAATATAATTTGTTCAATAACATAACACCAGTGTAGTTCAAAAGGAATAATGTAATGAGAAAAATATGTAGGGGTTTTGAAAAGGATTTAATTTAGGGTTACTTTTGGTATTATAAAGGGTGCAATGAGAATTTCAATTATTTCGTAAGTGTGTAATGAGAAAATATGTGTAAAGAGGTAAAATTGTGATGTATGTATAATTTCCCTCTTTCCTATTGCTTTTATACATCACCTTCCTTAGTTTTGTTGTCAACATTTTAGTGTATTTATTTATTATGATATTTTAATATGGCAAATTTTATTTTTGCCCCTATACTTTGCCTTAAAGATCAATTACACCCCTGGACTTTGAATAATTTCAATTTTATCCTTAAAGTTTTTGCAATCATATCAATTTGCCTCCTACTGTCACATTTAATTGGAAAAGTTAAAAAAATTACATTTTGACCCTAAATTTTAAAACAAAGATACAAACTCACCCTCTTTTCCTCTCTTTCATCATTCCCTGAATTACTCAAATAGCAATGCTAGGTATCATGAAAAACCTTTCATAAAAATAATCATGAAAGTTTTGTGACTCTTGGATTACACTTAAAATAAAACACTATACACTAATTAAGGTAATCTAAGCATCATAAATCTTTCATGATCATTTTCATTAAAAAAATTTCATGATCCCTAACTTTTCTCTTACTCAAATCCCTCTGCCACCCTTCTCCTCCCTCATTTGCCATCATCTTCCACAAACTAGTAACACTCAAGATATCTGAAAGAACACTTTGCCGGAGCTGATTCGCATCAATAAAAACACTTCTCATCTCCCTCATCTGCGTCGCTACAACCTTTCCAATTTCATCTCTTGTCATCTCTTTCCTCCATTGGCTCCACCTCCACTCTACTCTACTCTCTCTGCAAAACCTGCCTGAGCAATTCTCACTCTAGCCACCAACGCAAGCACCATTAGCCTCAAGCTAAATTCAATATGCTTGATTTTCGCCATTAAAGCCTTCGGATGACTATTCCAAGCCATCACAACATGCCAATGCTTATTGAAAAACTCTGAATCTTCCCCAATTTAAAACCCAATTTTGTTATTGTCTTCTTTGTTTTCGTCATTGAGTAATGATTGGAGGAGATTGGTGAAGAGATAGGGTTGGAGATTGCCAAGGAAGATGAAGGGCTTTTCAAGGGAGTTTCACCAACTGAGCAAGAGGATTTGGGCGATGTCATCGGAGTCGGCAAGGTCGAGGGCGTCATAAGAGGTTTGGAAGTGGTATGGAGCATTTCGACATGGGTGATGAGGAGACTTGACAACAGTGATGGAGTGGAGATTGATTGCCAAAAGAGAGAGAGATGTAGGTTTTCATGAGGGTTTCAATCCATTCGATGTAGAAGTCTTTGAATGGATGAGAAGACTTCTTGCTGTTGAACAGAGTAGTTTCAGTAAATCCACGATTTATTAGAAATTAGGAAGATGAAGAGAGAGAGAGAGAGAGAGAGAGAGAGAGAGTGGTTGCGTTTGGTAGAGTTTTGTAAATATGATTTGAGAATATGAGTTGTATTTTGAGTTTGTGAGTTGTGAAATTATGATTTGAATGTTGAAAATTTGTTTGGTTATGATTTTTGAATAGAGTGTTGAATTGAGTTTTGAATTGAGTTTTGAAAGTTTGATTTGACATGTGAAGTAAGAAAATTTGTTTAGTTATGAGTTTTGGAAAGAATTTTCAAAACTTAATTCAAATTATTATAACTCATAACAAAATACACTACTTTCACACTATTGAAAATTTTGATCAACACTCATAACCAAACTCTTTTTGAAATTCAATTAAAAAAATTTATTATTAACAGAAAATAACATTAATCAATTTTTTAATTGAAAATACTACAAAGGGAATAATTTTTTTTCAAAATAAATATTCAAAAAAATTAAATCATAAATATTTAAATAATTTAAATAATCTAAAAAATTTAGTAAGTAAAAAATTAAAATAAATATTCAAAAATTTTAAATCGTAAAAATTAAAATAATTTAAATATTTAAAAAATTAAAATAATTTAATAATTTAATATTTTAAATTTAAAAACAACTCTACACTCAAATCGTAACCAAACACATAAAACAAAACTCAATTAAAAAATTATTTTTAAAACTCATAACCAAACACAACAGTCGAAACTCCATACTACTTTCACAACT